ATATATATATAAAGTATATACAAAATCATTCATTGTTCATTACAGAAATCACATCCAATGAAGAAGCAAACTAATTTAAATAATTCTACGACAGAAAAGAAAAAGGTAATATTCGGACTCTCTCGAAATACAGCACAACATACATCCGAATATATTCGACAAGTTCGCAAAAGTCCGGCTATTCCATTTGATGCAAATAAAAAGCCATTGAACAGCGTGCTGAAAATGAATCCTATACAAAGTCCGCTTAATCCGTTTTACTATAAAAAATAATACTACAAAGAATAGCACGAGATTTCATGGGAATTGAATCTTGTGAAAATGTTTTATAACAAATTTTCAAATAATTATCATGTAATTGACAAAAGTTGAATATAAAACAGTTCGAAAAACTTAGTTTTTTTTATAAAATATAAAAATTTTATAGAAATGTCAAAAACAATTATATACATATATATGTTTGTAATAAATGAAATAAATAAGATCAATAAATAGGAAATTTAGAATGATTTCTATATATTTATTTTTAATTTATTACAGCGGAATGGCACAAATAATAGCATAAATATGTACATTCTAAATACAATCATTGTGCAGTACAACAAAGGTTTTATTGCACCATTAGTGATTCACTTTGGATTCATTTACTTTCAATTTGGAGCTTTCTACTTCAGTTTTTTTTTTGTTGCGTAACATTCAAAGTAAATATTCAGATTTATACATCTCGAATACATGTAGAACTTGATACATCACATATATAATGTTACAGTCTTAAATATTGTACATCACACAAAATATGTTATTCGATAAAATACTCCATATGTTATGATGTTACATGTAATATCTTTAGACATTATACGCACTTCACATCACTGTATGACAATCTAATTAACATCTATTTGTACAGAAAAATTTTTATAAACACTATTAATAATTTGCTTAATTTGTCATCTAATCTATAAGACATACAGAGATAATTATAATTAATTTATAATTCTTTACTTATATTTTTTGTTAAAGCTTATAAAAGAAAAAAGATTAATTTTTCTTTTATATCGAGATTCCAGGTACATTATATAAAGAAAGTATGTCTTCTGTGTTTTACTTACACATATATATGTATACAGATCTACAGCTATATTTACGCTGTGACAAACTCTTACAAAACTATTTTGACTGCTTATATCTCTTTGGCACGTGAATTCACTTTTACTTATACTCGAAATTGTTCGATAATTAATCTATACTCGAGAATACTAGAAAAAATAAATATTTTCTAACATACTATGAATTATAAAAATTATGCGACATAAATACTTTTTTAAACATTGAATCATAGATTACATTACTTTATGTAACATGAGGTATTACTCAATAATTAGACCTTTGGTGAAAGATTTTTCGCCTCTGAAGGAGATGTTAAAATTAATCAATGTAATTTTTGTACTCCTCTGAAAGTCTAATCAATTTAGATTACGAAATTTATTATGATGTTGGTGATAACACTGTAAAAAATAAATAGTACGATTTGAAAGACGATTTTTAAAAAGATATTGAAATATAGAAAATTATATATGAAAAATATATTACATATTGAAGATGTCTTGTTAATGTATCATAATATACATTCTTTCGAAATGAATAATTTCTTAAATATTTTAGTTTGTTCTTAAAAGTAACCGAGAGATTTTAAATAGTAAATGGACTATCTTGTGTGTAGAATTCTTTTTATGTATGTGTTTTAATAGTCGATTTATTTGTATCAACTTTTATTAGAAATTCATTGCAGTAAAAATTAGTATATTTCGTTCAAAATGTTTTCATTTTGTCAATGTAAGTCTGAAAAATTTAAATATGTTTTACAAATATAGACATTTTCATGAAATATATTTCTATTAAAAAAATGTATTTTTATTTTAACATCAATGTAACACAAAACATCAACGTTTGTGTGTGTGTGTGTGTGTGTGTGTGTGTGTGTGTGTGTGTGTATGCTACGTGATTAGAAATGCGATCCTCACATCTTGAAAAGAGAACGTGATGAATGCGTGATTATATTTGCAGGAATTGAGTGCCGGGATATATAATTTCAACAGTAATTCAATTGCAAACTTACTTCCTGCAAATCAAAATCGATAATAGAAATGTTCATGTACATTTTCCAATTTAGTGGAACAACAGATTTCTATTATTTGTAAGAGAATTATATACGTATATTTCTTATACATTATCATGTTTTTAAAACGCTACAACATTGAGATATTATAAATGTAAAAGGATTAAATCAGTGCAATTATATTGCAAGTTGTGATGAATTTCAAATATAATCGAATAATCGAATCACGTTGCGTACAACGAAATTATCAAATCATTTCGAATGTTATTCGAAGCCAAACGATTTCTGAAAGTCTTGAAAATCTAGAAAGTCTTGAATATTTTGAAAATATATCTTTTTTTATATAATATATACTTTACATTATTTTAATCCGCTCTCAGTATATACAAGAAAACAATTATAGGCACCTATAATATAGAAAATAATTTTATTTTTATGAATTTTAAATATTTTTAAGGACAAAAAAAATCGAATGACTTGGTCCAATCTCATCAGATTTCTTGAATGTATTGAAAATTTTTAATGTTCAGACATTCTCAGGCATACAAACATTAACAGTTTGTAAATCAAGACATTAAAAGTTCAAAGAACTTTTAAGATTTTTCAAGCTTTCAAGAATTTCCAATTTCAAATAGAATAATAGAATAATAGAATAATACTACATAGAAGCAATTTAGAGCTCTATATGATCGAATAATTTCGACACTTTTAAGAAAAGGATACTAGACATAATTATATCAAACTGCGATATTGCACATCTGTTCTTCTAACATTACGATCTTACATACAGTATTATCACAGAGACAAAGAGCTATGCGATTTCCTAATGACGTTCAAACAAAAATATATTTTCCATTACTATATTTAGCTCAAAAGGAGCTCTTTCCAGCGCCAATACCATCCAATTTCAATTTGATTGAAGCATATGTTGAGAATAGACAATCCGATGAAAAATAACGCAAAGAATAGAGTCCACAGTTGGAAGATCGGGGAAACAATAAGTAGAAGCACTGCCATCCCTAAAAATAAAATTTATAGCTTCTGTTATTATTTCCCACGAATGATAGGGAAGATTTTAATTACCTGTTAATATGCTCCAGAATCCGAACGCGATTCGCAACGGCAGCATTTTCGCCATCGGCCAGATCTGGGTGGAAAATGCCTTCCGTTCATAGAATCCCTGCAATATCATCTCTTTATCGGACCATTTGTCCTCCAGCCATTTTCTCAAGGTCGAGTCATCATACGCCGGTATATCCGCGGATGAAATTCGTTTTATATGGAAATGCACCTCTCTCGGAAATTTACCCTTGATCAGATCAATCTCAGATTGCGGTATATAATCCGGATATGCTATCGTCAGATCATACACAGCATCGAGGTAATTCGCGCGCTGAAGATGCTGGACTAGATAGGCGAAGCCGGTCGTTTTCGGATGAAGAGTATAGGTATAAAGCGGCAGGTGATGCTGCAAGGCGTACTTGTCCGACTTTTCCTTGCTGCTCTTCGTTAAATCGGTACCTTCGGGGAATATCAGCAGCTGCGTGCGGCTATCTAACGCGATCAGGTAATCGAGCGTACGCGACAATCGGCCCCGATCCTCTTCCCACCGTCGCGTTATATAAAGGAAACCATTCATTTGCATTATCCATCCTGTTACAGATACACGTGTTATAGACATGAGGGTGAGAAGAGCGTGTGTATATATATATATATTATATATACGGAATGGTGTCCGAT